TGTTTCGACCCAAACTTTCATTTGTTCCCTACACTATTGAAGATCTATCGGTTTCAAAACTGGGAAAAAGACATCTTATTGAAGCTCATGCAATTATTTACAGTTCAGTTTTCCTGGCAAATTTTCCGAACCTTTATAGCTTAAACTGCGAAATATGCAGCTGGGACCTCGACGGTATGCATTTTATTTACCAACAAAAACCTTATTTCCATTTGTTAATCTAAACAAGAAATGCTCAGGATAGTTACGTTCACTCCAGCAGCATTCACGTAGAGAATTGAAATGATGCTCGTATACGGATAAGAAACATTCCGGTGCTGCTGGATTAATTTGGATAAATGGTTCAGTGACGAGCATAACAAAAATTGTATCATTTACGGGGTACTACATTCACAGGGTATTCTTTAGTGAGATTTTGGAAAGTGGTAAATATTGGAACTTGATACTACTAGCCCATTTTAGGAGAATCTGAAGGACGTGAAATATTAGATAATGTCCATATACATTTTCGAGTATTATTCTCCATCCGCCCATTAGTTATGAATTAAACTAGAAATGTTTGGCTAAGCCCTCTTGGCTAGTCCCGTTGGTTAATTAGGTTTACATGATGCAGTAGAAACGTCGCATAATGTAATGCAGTGGCATTTCGAGGATTAACGCAAAAGCCTTGCTTGGTTTAACTAGATGACGTTGTAATGATGAAACACAGAGCTAAATACCCGAGCGATATTATCTTTTCGAAGCTAAATAAATACAAATCTAAGGGAATAATTAGCGATGTGGATTTGTAAACATCCAACTTAATTATTGATAAACTACCGGCAAAATTGAATATGCTTGACTGCTAACTTACTAATTTACTTTAAAAGCTTTCCCGCATAGTCTGGGTGTTCCCAGTTTAGTTTAAACCGCTACAAAGACCATGTATATAACGTAAGGATGTAAACTTAGAAACTAGGAAACACGTGAATTGTAATACAGGCTTTAATATTGAGTTAGCAATAATTCAATAGTGGGCAAACTTGAAGCTAATGTTAACAACACGAAGCAAATAATCTATATGTTTGAATTGACAGAATAATTCAAATTGAAGATTTGAATCAAAATTAAACAGAATGCTGCTTAGGAAATTGCTTTGTATATTCGGCTGTCTGCAAGATGATACAATAGCTATTTCAAAATGGCTTGAAATTCTTCCTGTTTGGAGCGTCAGGTCGAACTGCTTTCAGATATTAAATAATGTTTAAATTGTCTGCATTTCCTGCTGGGAAATTTGCTTCTTTGCGTAAATTTCAACAAAATTTATAGCAAAACTAAATTCTTATTCAACGCCAACTTAAACATTACGAAGCAAAATCAGTCAATTATATAAACTTTCATTCGTAAACTTTCAGTGTTACAGTCAGAAGTTTTTTTCGCCAAAAAATTAAACCCTAGCGGAAACCTTCCAATTTAGCTACTGCGCCCTACAAACGAGATACTAGATGGCACAAAACATCCAACCTTATAAGAAAACCTGATTGCAGATATGCTTTTAGCAGAAAGCTAGTAAAATCCTTAATACAACCAACCTCATTATTCCTTGCCCTGTTAAGTCCCATCAAAGTATTACTGAAGAAAAAACTTTTAACTAGTGGATGCTGTCAGAAGCCGAAAATTAGAAAGTAATTTTTGAGGCAATTTGAAAAATAACAATGAAGTGATACGATGTTGAGACCTCCAAGACGGTTGGCGAGGTTTCGGCAAACAAAAACCATTGGGGGATTATGAAAATTGACTCTGGGGAGAGATTCAGAGGGAAAAATGTTATGATTTGTAATTTCGTATTCAGAGATGGAAAAAGTATGTATTTTTATTTACTCTTGAGAATGGACATTTTATGAATATTTTTCAGATACTCAATAGATATTCATTAAGCCAGCAAGGCTCGGTACCATGCTTCTGAAATATTCGAAAATTTTAGATAATATTTAAATTATTATTTCACGGCCAGTAACTCGAATTATGCAAAATTCTGGGACCCCTGGTTCATATAATATTAAAAATGACAGAGTAATATTCTTGAAACAAGACAAGGGATTCCCTGGTGGCCCCTTCAGCTTGATATAGGTCTTAACATCCAGGGAAACTAGTATACGCATCCAAAAAAAGCTGCTATAATTCTTTATCATTCTTTGTATATAACAATTGACGTGGGATCAGGCGATCCTGCAAAAAACCGACGTGCGTCCATTATAAATAAATAGTTCCCGGCATTATATCTTTTGAAAAATATTGCCAAGGGGCACGCAAATTTCAAATGTTTGCAAATTTGCTGAATAAACCGGAAAATTAAAGTTTAATTTTCGAAGTACTGGAAAAGTAAGCCAATCTTCATTTTATTTACTTTAGCTAAATATTGCAGAAGCCTGTATCATCTTTGAATTTAAGGGCTTAACACCAGCAACGTCGATTCCAGATTTCGGACTTGAATGTTGACAAGCTAAAGTAATGGAAAGTCAAACCAAAGTTGAAAGTGAATTCTCTTAACTGAAGACAGGTAGGCTTGAAACTTTTGGTTCTCTGATACTCTCGAGGATTCTCAAACCGACGAATTATATTAATAGTGAATCTGCTAGAAAAAGTTAGGACATTTCAAATTCCGCCACATATAACAAATAAAATGAATCCATGAAATATTGAGTTGGAAAAGTTAACTAGATCAAGAGACAGTCGAAACACGTTCGAGTTAGCTCTGGTTAGTGTTTGGTCATTTTATTTTGCTCCAGATTATATTAGATTTATTCACTATTGCGATTTTGTGTGTTGCCAATAACCTGTTCCGGTTCCACACAAGTTGTGAAAATTGCAAATAAAAACCGGTGTGTGTGGAAGAATGAGCACAACCAATTTCAAATTCAAAAGGAAAATACATTTGAAAATTTATACGAAAATTATCATTTAAAAAGTTTTCATTTACATTAATGAAAGGAAATCCAAGCTCGCGAAGAGATCTTTTTGGACCCTTATTTTTGGTGCTTAATTAATTATGCAAGCAAAACTTAGTCGGATTTAATCATTTATTAACTTTGTCGGACAGAATTCTTTTAAATGCTTGATTTTCACATAAACAGAATTTACAGCTCCTTGGAGTTGTCACCAACATCTAAATTGGAAAATTAGCTCGCATCGGACGCTAAGCTTGTTGGCGTTTGATTCGAAAAAGAGTTTACAATAGGCTTTGTAATATTTTAATCAAGACGGCTCAAAGATTTTCGATGTATTTCTGATGAACAACAAAGATTCCATCTAAATATAACTCGATTAACCGTGATGAAAGAATAAGAAAAAACATAGTTGAACTACGTAATTTTTTGCTTATGATGACCGCCTCTACATCAAATATTTGCCCAGCCAATTCAGCACCGAAGCTCGAACCAAGCTAATCAATTTTTGATGGCTAAAATCAACAGCAGATTAAATAACTTAACGTGTGTAAAATTCGGCATTTTCAGACCCCAACCCAAATAAGGCCAACGCTCTAAAATGCGTCAAAGCACGAAATAATTGTATTAGTATCGAACTTGGGGAGCAGATGATGCCCATCGTGTAAGAATCATTCTCCGGCAATTCGCTCAAAATGAATAGAATATTGATGTAATCGTGCAATTGAAATGGGATTTTGCAGCTTTAAAGGAGCTTGTAGTGCCGATCAAGGTATCTTGTTTTATCCCAAATTTTCTCCACAAATTGCCTAATGCATATACAAATTGTGTGTTTATCAGTCACTTTGAAATGCACAAATTTCACTCCAGTTCTGCAATTTTTGCCCATAACTAAAAACGCACTTTGGTATTATTTACCAGCGATTAATGTGCTCATATTTCATAATTACATTATTGCTATTTATGGTTTCATGTGACGTCTATGAAAGTGATTTCATATCTATTGCAGCAATATTTTCCAGTTCAAAGCTTCAACACTCAAAAATTGATGGGATAACAAATTATTGGATGAACTTCACGACAAGTAACTGCGCTTTGGACCATGGTATAATAGTGCGTTTATTTGACGTTTTTTCACAGTTAATCATACAATTGAGTGGGCATCTACGCCAGCAAAAACTGTACATGTTAGAAAATCTGACCTTTTAACCAGGGAATTTGTGTAAGTTATAATCTCGTGAAATATTTTAATTAAATCACTAGTGGGACAAAGAGTAGGTTGAGTAACTCCGGGCAAAAATGGGTTTACCCGATAAGATCTTATGATAACAGTCATGGTGGACTAATTGGGTTAAAGAAAATTATTACAGTAATAACAATATAATGAGCCCATCATCCATCACAGTTCCACCTTTTACATACAGAACCAGTAAAGTAATAAATACATACAAGATAAAATGTGTGATATGAACACATTAATCACCAGGGTGGAAAACTATTAATTACATCACAAGTTGATGTACGTGATGTTTATAAATGAGAAAGCGCTGCATTAGGATTGTGACAATAATTGTTACTTCATGGGCCATGTCAAATAGAATGTGCCATCAATTTTAAAAAACACTCCAGAGACTTGACAACGCTAATGAAGAAAATATATGTAGACGCCGTGAAAATAAGCTAGGATATTGAAATCAGAAGGCTTCCGATTGTTTATGCATGTGCATTGGAGCATAAAACAGTCAAACGTTGACATGTGTCAAGTCAAGTATAGGAACTGATGCGCATATACTCAAGTTAACTGGTGATAATATATTGAAATGTGAATCATACTTTTCTGAATTACGTGCGAACGATTGAAAATAAATTAAATCAGTTTTTTCCAATCACGCCGGAATCGAAAGTTACTTAATTTTTTTAAACGTCGCATCTGATTCCGGGGCAAATTTAAAGCTAAGCTAGGTGAACAGTGGCAAGTTATTGCAAAGTGCCAAGCCAACGGTGTATTTTGAGACCCAAAGTCCAAACCACTTTCTCAAAATATCCCAATTAATGTGAGTAAATTGATAAACAAACCTTAGGAGTTCCCATGTTAGGCAATGTGGTCACAGCGGCGGCCACGGTGGGGGCAAAAGTGGGAACAGTGAACGGCACGAACAACATTGGAGTCGTTGTAGAAGAAGTTGCAGCTGCTGAAGTAGAGCCTTGCACTTGCGTGCTGTCTTTGGGCTCGGAGTTGCCACTTGGGTTGCTGCAACTACAAGGAGCTACAACCACGTGCGGAGGTTGCACTACTGTGCTCGGCTGAGGTTGCACAGCAAGCTGTACGGGTATCTGCACCGTTTGAGAAGGATATGGAGACGATCTGTGACTGGGGTTGCGTTGAGTGCGAATGGGCCCAATTGGATCGGGTTGTGACTGGTTCTGGGGCTGCCAAACGGCGTAAGGATATACGCCGACAAGGCTATAGCCCACAAGTGCCGGTGGAGGAGCCAAGGTAGTGGCTAAATCTACTTTTCAACAACAAACACAGCTGCTAAATTGCAGCAGAGAGTAGCATCGGTCACTCGCACTCAACTCGCGCGCCTTTCCTTCACGTCACAGGATGCGTGGAAGGGATGCGTGTTTACGTATTTACCCTGTTGATCATGACACAATCACCACGTGGCCGATTTTTGTTTACGCGCGCTGGCGGAACAGAATAAGCTTCAGACGCACATGAAGGGACCGTCAGTCGAGGAAAGACGCTGCCTCAGACGACTACAGAACAAGAATAACAACTGATGCGGCAGGTAAAGTTCAGCGTCGCGTTTGAGGTCACAGTCGAGCGATAAATAAGCAGCTATAGAACAGAACAGAGCCCCATAGTCGGACGGCCGTTTTAGAGCCGAAGGCGGCAACGCGTGCTCAAGCGGGGGCCGTCCGCCATCGGGCGTGTCGCCGCCACTCTAGGACTACCCCTAACACTTTCATAGACTTTAATATTTCTTGCATTTCGCTGCTACTTCCTCATAAGTTCATTGATTCACTCTACCCATCGTTAATTCTCTACTACTCTACACGTGGCTGCAGTAAATAATCTGAGCAGCAACCCAAACTGCTCAGAAAATTTACTATAACAATTTAAACAATTGCTCTTATGAATCGTCTATCCCATCCTAATGTGTGTGTAATGCAAAAGTAATGAATTAAATCTGTTAACTCAGAAGTGTAGCTAACACTCAGAACTGCTTGACGCGCGGAGCGCTGACAATTATTTAATATCAGTATTCGGAAGCAAGTCAATGTGTTAAAAGTTTCTGCGGTAGACCTCTGGAGGTGCTTCTGATAACCCACCCCAATTTAGAGTGCAAATATTTAAATGTATTTCATTCTCATCTCTGGACAAGTCATGGAGCGGGTAACAATTATTCTCTTTTAGCTCACGCACTAAAATAGTTACTTAATTATTCATTGCTGTGCGGATACACATCTAGAATTTGCAGCAAAACTGGGTAATTATCTGGAAGGAATAACAGTCCACTATTAGCCCAAAGAAAAATTACAACTTTGTTGGTAAACATGTCAAGGAAACCTACTGATTCATTTCTTTCCAGAGGTAGTCCAAGGGCCTCAAAAAATCCTTTTAAAATTCCAAGATTTGACATCAATATCTGCAGATTGAAAGTTGATTTTTTTGTTGGAGAAAATAACTTTTCCTAAAAATAAAAATCCTTTACTGGTATCTCCACGTGGTTATACAGCATTTGAAATATTATTGAACCAAACCAATTTCTCGATCTTTCCTGAGCTAAAAAACGATAGGAAGTTTCTTTAGAGAAAAACTGAAAACCAAGTGAGCTGTGTAATAATAGAATTTCAGCTTTATTATCCAGCAGTATTTCTTACGGGGCAAAATCATTGCTTGGGAGTTATAAGGCGCTTTCAAAAACTGATCAACAATAAAGTAAGAATAAGACGTTTCCGGCAAATAAAACAAATGAATTGCGGGTTTACTTAATTTCCAGCTCGGCCGAAACGGTCTAATTTAAATCCGTAACTTTTGCGTAGTTAATTGAAACAATTATAATTACGATAAAGTCTAATGAGCTACAAAACTTTGTAATTGATTTTCGGATAGCGACCAGGACAACTTGAACCTAATTCTTTGCATTATCTGCCCAAGTCACGTAAAGAAAATAAATTTCGGATAAAATTCGGGGTCTTTTTGGCACACAACGGCCTTACAGTTCCAACCCAGAAAATAATGCATTTCACACACAGGTAAGGAAATATATTAATTTTTAATAAGCAAGCGTTGTCCACTGTTCCCTGAAGGCATCGTGAGTGGCGAATATTTTTTTTTTCTTAGATTACGTGTATCCTGAAAAAAATTACAGTTTTGATGCACACAATAAAATATGCTGCGGAGTTTCTTGTCTAACTCTAATGTTTAACTCAGAATAAATTGCGAAGTTGTGCAGGTTAAAACTGATTTTCTGCCTCATTTCATTAAAATACAGATTGTTTTCGAGGCATCTCTTACCCTATACCAAAATCCTTTTTAGTAGGTGTATAAATCACCTAGGATGTCTGCTACGAAGCGTAAGGCCTGTATTAGGGAGACGAAAAACTTAAAGCTAACCGTCTTTACTCTAGCGAGAACTACATATGACAGAGTATACTTCCAGGACAAAGAATCGTTTCTTTGAGTTATCTCCTTTTGAACAGCAGGTTTTGTCAAATATAAAAGTGAAGCACAACATGATTATTCATGTTCGAAATTCAAACAAATTAAATTAAAATTGATGCTGGAATGTGTTTAATCATAAAATTAATTGAAAATTCTGCCACCAACAATTATACATAACAAACAAGAACTAGCAAATGTTAGCAAATGCTAAATTGTTTTAATCTGATAAAGGTTTGTATTTAATTTTTGTCTGTTGGGAGAAATAATCAAAATATACTGTGGAAGTAATACGCCGGCATAACTTTGAAATTATTCAAACGCAAACATTTGTTTCAGGAACAGGTGAATTAAATAATTTAAATTAACATGTGGTTATTAAAAACTGATTATTATATGCATACCAGGACGATTTTCCAATTGAAATGTACTAGATTATGTTTGGAACTTTTTCGTTAAATAATTGCGTTATATTGTCCTTTCAGAGCCTCTTTTTTCTTTTTTTCGCAAAAATTCAGACAAAGGCTCAAACTTTGCTGTTTTCTGTTCCTTGCGTTCAGCCAACAAAGTCCATGGATCTATATACTCCTGAACAAAATTCTTCTTTAATAAAATAAAACGGAAAAGGAATACAAATTTTATTTTCAAAACAAACCGGCAAAACCCCAACATTTTCCTTAAAATAACCAAAGTTTACATGACCATTCAACACTGATTTTCCGCATCATTGCCCTATGAGAAAAGCAGCTTTCATGGCATCTCTTACCCCTTATTCCGAAATCCTTTTTACTAGGTGCATAAATCACCCACCTTGTCTGGCACGAAAGCACGGGGGCCTATTTCAGTCGAGGAAAAACAGAAAGTTAACCTTCTTTATGCTAGCGAAAACTACATATGACAAAGCCTGAAAACGTATGTACAGGACAAAGAATTTATCTGGTAAATTGTCCACTGGGAGAATTTGCGACTCGGTTAATTAAAGAAAATTTGAACTTTTCTTTTTCTTCTCACAGCAACGCTGATAACAGCTATTTAAGCAAAGCCTATGGGCTTACAACATCCTGACTGTATCGGAACTGAGGCAGGAACTTAAGGCTCAGACTTCTAGGTCGTATGTAGGTATGGGACTATGAAGTTTAGTATCCTTTACGAAATCCCCCGACACGGATAAAGGGAAAATATCTTCAGTTTTATGAAACCGCAGGATTTTGGCTCAAATACAACATAATTCATTATTTATTAGGACACTATTGAAATACGTGTTTATTCAAATGGGTTTAGAAAATCCAATTCAATAAAAAGAAAACGGCGCTTTCGATTTAGCAATTATCTAATATATTGTAAAAGAATATGTTATAAAACTCAGACTATGAAGGCTTTCACGGCCGATTAAATCACATTTAGGAATGTTTTCCGGGCTTTCAAGTCGTGGTCTATGGGAATTTCTTCCTGACGTTTCGT